CGGGCGGTTTCCCCCATGCTGTTCTCATGATAGTGAGGGAGTTCTCCTGAGATCTGATGGTTACGTAAGCATCCGTCATTTCCTCCACTCACACTCTCTCCTGCCACCTTGTGAAGAAGGTGCCTGCTTCCCCTCCACTATGACTGTCAGTTTCCTGAAACCTCCCCAGCAATGTAGAATGGGAGTCAATTAAACCTCTTTATTTAGAAGTCACCCAGTCTTGGGCGGATCTTTAGAGCAATGTGAGAAGGGATTAACGCAGTAAATTGGTACCAGGAGTTTGGGACACTAATACATGGTAGTTCCCTCATTGCTGCAGGGAGCATGGGGACAGGGCTTGTTCCAGGGAAGGTGATGAGTTCTGTTGGGCTGCCTTGTGTTTGAAGTAGGTACAGAAGCCTAACAGGCAGTGGAGCAGGGCACTGGAGTCAAGCAGACTGGGTCCAACTTCCAGCTTCACCAACTTATTAGTTCCATTACCTTTTGCAAAAAGCCTGTTCATTTGTCTGTATGACAGGGATAAGAATAGGTTTATAGAGACTGAGGTGGGAGGATTGCTAAAGCCTGGGAGGCAGAGCTTGCAGTGAGCTGAGATCACAGCACTGCACTCCAGCCTGGGTGATAGAGTGAGACCTTGTCTTAAAAAAAAAAAAAAAAAAGGATAGGGTTATAGACTTATTGTGATACTTAAATAAGATAAGGTACAGAGCCTGGAAGGTAATATGTATCTAATAAATGGCAGTGGTAGGCTGGGTGCGATGGCTCACGCCTGTAATCCCAGCACCTTGGGAGGCCGAGGCAGGCAGATCATGAGGTAGGAGTTTGAGACCAGCCTGGCCAAAATGGTGAAACCCCATCTCTACTCAAAATACAAAAATTATCCAGGCATGGTGGCACATGCCTGTAGTCCCAGCTACTCAGGAGGCTGAGGCAGAAGAATTGCTTGAACCTGGGAGACAAATGTTGCAGCGAGCCGAGATTGTGCCACTGCACCTAGCCTGGGCAATAAGCAAGACTCCATCTTAAAAAAATTAAAAAATGGTAGTGCTGTTATTATTGTTATACTATACCTTATTATTGTCAGTAAATCTGAAGCTCAGAAAAGAAGCAATTTCAGAAGGCATCAAGTAGAAATGGAAACCATGAGAATAAATGAGATGATCCAAAAAGAGTATACATGGAGGACATTGAAGACCAGGAGCATTGACATTTAAGGGGTGGACACAGGAAAAGGAGTCTAAGAACAAATGGCCAGAGGAGGAGGAAAGCTGTGAGAGCCCGTGGAAGCCACGTATAGCAGCCACACAGCTGATCCTCTGCCTCCTTCCTCCTTCCTGACGGAACCTGTTGTCAGGTAAGCTCCCACAGTCCCAGCTCCAAGCCAGGAGGTGAGTCTTCATCAGTAATCTCATTTCCCTTGCCAGTGACTGGTTTGGGAACGTGTACTTAATGTAGTTCTGTTCGCACTTGATAGAAAGTCTGCTGGGGAACTTCTGGAAAAGATTTCCTTGATCTTAAAAAGAAATGCAGGTGCAAATCAAAACCACAATGAGATACCACTTCACACCCACTGAGATGGCTGGAATCCAAAAGTCAGATAACAAGTGTTGGTCAGAACCGTCACACATTTCTGGTGGGAATGTAAAATGATACAGCCACTTTGGAAAACAACCTGGAAGTTTCCCCAGGTGATTAAACATAGAGTTACCACAGGATACAGGCACTTTACTCCTAGATATATACCAAGAGAAATGAAGACATATGTCCACGAATAAACTTGTGCACAAAAGTTTATAGTAACACTGTTTATAATATAGCCAAAACATGAAACAACTCAGAGGTTCATCAATAGATGAATGGACACACAAAATGTGGTATATCCACACAATGGAATAGCACTTGGCCGTAAAAAGTAAGGACGTACCGATACCTGCTACAACACGGATGAACCATGAAAACATTCTGCTAAGTGAAAGAAGCCAGCCACAAAGGCCTACAGACTGAAGGGGGCCTGCCCCTCCACACCTGTGGGTATTTATCGCAAGGTGGAGACAAGAGACTGAGAAAAGAAATAAGACACAGAGACAAAGTATAGAGGAAGAAAAGTGGGCCCAGGGGACCGGCGCTCAGCAAGTGAGGACCTGCACCGGCACTGGTCTCTGAGTTCCCTCATTCTTTATTGATCACTAGCTCTACTATCTCGGCGAGGGGGATGTGGCAGGTGTATAGGGTAACGGTGGGGAGAGAGTCAGCAGGAAAACATGTGAACCAAAGACTCTGTGTCATAAATAAGTTTAAGGAAAGGTGCTGTGCCCAGATGTGCACGTAGGCTAGGCTGATGTTTAGCTTTACGTAAACATCTTAGTGCAGTAAAGAGCAGTATTGCCGCCAGCATGTCTCATCTCCAGCCATAGGGCAGTTTTCTCCTAACAGTAAATAGAATGTACGATCGGGTTTTACACCAAGACATTCCATTCCCAGGGATGAGCAGGAGACAGAAGCTTTCCTCTTATCTCAACTGTAAAGAGGCCTTCCTGTTGCACTAATCCTCCTCAGCACAGACCCTTTATGGGTGTCGGGCTGGGGGACTGTAAAGTCTTTCCCTTCCCACAAGGCCATATCTCAGGCTATCTCAGTCGGGGGAAACCTGGACAATACCCAGGCTTTCTTGGGCAGAGGTCCCTGTGGCTTTCCGCAGCGCATTGTGTCCCTGGTTAATCAAGAATGGAGAATGGTGATGACTTTTACCAAGCATACTGCCTGCAGACACATTTTTAACAAAGCACGTCCTGCACAGCCCTAAATCCATTAAACCTTGAGTCAATACAGCACATGTTTCTGTGAGCACAGGGTTAGGGTTACGGTTACAGATTAACAGCGTTTCAAAGCTGAATAATTTTTCTTAGTACAGATCAAAATGCAGTTTCTTATGTCTTCCTTTTTCTACGTAGACACAGTAACAGTCTGATCTCTCTTTCTTTTCCCCACACAGAGCTTATGATTTCATTCATATGGAAGTTCAGATAGGGAACTCTATAGAGACAGAAAGTAGATTAGTGGTTTCCAGAGTCTGGGGTGGTGGACGAGGATGGGAGGTGATAAATAAAGGATATGGGGTTCTTCTTGAGTGATGAAAATTTCTAGAATTGACTGTGGTGATGGTTGCACCTGCCTACGAATATACCAAAAACCACTGAATTGTACACTTTAAATGAGTTGCATGGTGTATTAATTATATTTCAATAAACCTGTTTTAAAAAGAGACAGCCTCAAAAATACAGACACTTCTCAGTGTTGGCATTTCTGGATGGGATGGCTGGAACTGAGGATTATGTCCACACAGAGAGAAAGGCAGCATCAAGGCTGACCTGAGAAGCGGCAAGGGACCCTGGCAGTACCAAGCCTGGCTGCTTTTTTATGTGACATGATGAATTGTTTCCTGCTTTTTCTTTTAAGAGATGGGGGTCTTGCTATGTTGCCAGGCTGACCTTCAACTCCTTGGGTCAAGCAATCCTCTGCCTCTGCCCCCTAAGTAGCCGGGACTACAGGGATGCACCACCACGCCTGGCAACATGATGAATTGTTGAAGCCAGCTTGCATTGTTTTTGTTGTTGTTGTTTGCAAACAACTAAATGTTTTATGCAAAACGGAGTTAATATAGGGAATTAGCTGCTTACAAAACCTTTGGAAGTGCTGAGTGATCAAGCTGTAGGCTGAATCCCCAGGAATGACTCCTAGAACACCGCAAAACTGACCAGCAGGGCTACTGCTTCTGTCCCCTATCAGGAAAGTGGGGACTCAGGAGACCAACACTGGAACTATTACATTCAAGAACACAGCACTTTATTTATGACTCAGGGTTGGAAAGCCATTGCCAAAGCACCACAGCCGCCTGTCAACAGTACCCAACGAAGCCGGTGAATAAACATGGAATACTACTTCAGAAACTGTATCCATCTCCTATACCTTACTTGCTAGAAGAAAACAGTCAAAGCAGCAGGACGATGGTATTTATTTGACTTCCACCTTCCAGATGTCTCTCATTTAATGACCAACTTCTTTACTCTTTATTCCTACTTCCGTCTCAGATCTTGTATCTGGAACCATTATTCCTTCTGCCTGATATATATTCTTTATAATTTTCTGAAGGTCGGCCTCCCACAGTGCTGGGATTACAGGCGTGAGCCACTGCTCCCGGCCTAACAGTGTTTTCTTGAGTGATAGGAACTGCATGTAATTTCTGTTTTCCCCTTTTGGCTTATTGCACTTTTTACTTTTTCTACAACAATCTTCTATTATGTTTATGACTAGAAAAAAAAAAATAAAGATTGTTAAACAGGACACAAGTGGAAAGTTGTCCTTGAATTATAAAAAGAATAAAGTGCTGAAAATAACTAAAATGCTGGATAAAATAGTGTGTAAGCCTAATAAAACGTAAGTAATACTTGGGCATGAAGACAGGGACTTAGAGAGGTATGCAAAGCGCAGGAGCCAGATTTGGACTTGAGGACACATATAAAACTGTGAATTTGAGAGCCTCCTTGGCTTCCGCATTATGCAAACCACTGGCCACTTCAGGCCCCTACATTGCTTGCCATTTGACAGCAGGGACCCCTTCCACTATTCCTATCTCCTTTTAGGGTGTGTTACTGTACTGTAAAGGCTGGGAAACAAAAAACTATTTTGGTAGATACCCTCAAAGTTGGGTTATGCAAATTAGGTTTTCAGAACTTGGTAGCTTCTCGGGACTAGCAGGATGGAAGATAAAGCCTACTGCCCGCCAAGAGGGAAGCCTAACAGGAGACTCCCCTGAAACTGTGACTCCAGAGGGCCATGTTCCAACATAAGAGTGGCCTAAGAAATAAATTTGGCCAGGCACGGTGGCTCACGCCTCAGGAGTTCGAGGTGGCTCAGGAGTTCGAGACCAGCCTGGCCAACATGGTGAAACCCTGTCTCTACTAAAAATACAAAATTAGCCAGGCGTGGTGGTAGGTGCCTGTAATCCCAGCTACTCAGGAGGCTGAGGCAGGAGAATTCCTTGAACCTGGGAGGCAGAGGTTGCAGTGAGCCAAGATCGCGCCACTGCACTCTAGCCTGGGCAACAGAGCAAGACTCTGTCTGGGAAAAAAAAAAAAAAAGAAAGAAAAAAATTATTCCATCCCTATGGGACTGAAAGGAAAACTGCCCTTGTTGGATCCTGATGCTAATCAAATTGAGCTGGGGGTGGGGTATCTCCTTTCAGAATTTGTAATCATGAGCCTGCCCTCATGAATTTACATGACCAGGCACTGTCCCCCTTCCTAAAAGATAAGCAAACACACACACACACACACACACACACACACACCTGGAGCCAAAAATTTGATTAGAAATGGTCCTAGGCTTGTAATGCTCCCACAGTTACCTGAGAGAAGCAAGTGTAAATCCTTTCAAGTGGAACTCAGAAATTTGCCTTCATCCCTGACCTCAAAGAATTCCCACAGTAATATTCCGAAGAAAATGAGCAGCCCCTAAATAAAATAATTCACTAAATATACAAATAAACAGGGCACTATGAGTGAGATCCAGTAGAAACAAGACAGCGGATTCAGACCCAGACTTTAGATGCTGGAGTTATCAAACCTAGTATATCCGACAAGTATGTTTGATATCATTTCATAAATAAAAGAGTCTTGAAAATATCACAAAAGAGCAAGCAGATGTGGAAAAACACAAACAACTTGTAGAAATGAAAAATATAACAACTGAAATTTAAAACTCAAGAGACAGGTTTAACATCTAGATACAGCTGAAATTATTAGAGACATGGAAGATAGAACAGAACTTACCCGACATACAGCCAAGAGAGCTAAAGATATGGAAAATAGGAAATAGAACTTAAAGAGACATGGAAGATAGACTGAGAGGTCTATGATATGGTTTGGCTGTGTCTTCACTCAAATCTCATCTTGAATTACAGCTCCCATAATTCCCATGTGTTGTGGGAGGGACCTGGTGGAGGTTGATTGAATGATGGTGGTGGTTTCCCTCCTACTGTTCTCATGGTAGTGAATACGTCTCACAAGATCTGATGGTTTTATAAGGAGAAACCCCCTTTGCTTGCTTCTCATTTGTTTGCTTCTCATTTGCTTTTTGCCTGCTGCCATGTAAGACGTGCCTTTGCCTTCCACCATGATTGTGAGGCCTCCCCAGCCACGTGGAACTGTGAGTCCATTAAACCTCTTTTTCTTTATAAATTGCCCAGTTTCGGGTGTGTCTTTATCAGCAGCATACAGTCTAATGGACTACTTTCTATAAATGACAAAGGGTCCTAATCCACAGGTTTGAGAAGCCAAAAAATTTTCAACTGTAATAAATAAAAAGAAATGTGCACCCAGAATCATCATAGTGAAGACACACAACATAGTTTGCTAACTACTAAAATATTAGATAATATATGGCATTTTATAGCATATTGGAAACTGAGTATATGTAACTTCCAAACTTTTAGAGGGAAAAAGAGAAGGAAAAAAAAAATTATTCCAAAAGAGCCAAGAAAGACAAAAAAAAATTAAAAAAACAAGAAAAGTGAACACAAAATAAAATGGTAGAATAAATGCTATCAATAATAACACTAAATTGGCCAGGCTGCAGGGGTTCACATCTGCTAATTCGTTAGCATGTTGCGGAGGCCGAGGGGGGGCAGCATCATCTGAGTCAGGAGTGAGACCAGCGATGCCAACAATGGGCAAAACCCTGTCTTGCTCCTAAAAATACAAAAAATTAGCAGCCAATGGTGGCAGGCGCCTGGAGTCAGCCTACTCGGAGGCTGAGGCGAGGAGAATCTCTTGAACCCAGGAGCAGAAGTTGCAGGAGCCAGAGTTCACACCGCTGCCACTCCAGCTGCGGCCAACAGAGCGAGACTATCTGGAAAAAATAATAAAAGAATACAGAAGAAAACGAAAAGAGTGAGAATAGTACCACGTAAATACTGAATTTTCCAAAAGTGTGTATAGCAAATTAATATCAGGCAAAATACTTTAGGACAAAACAAACTGAGAGATTATAGAAGTTGTGTTTTGTTTAAATTCTTAACCGAGTTATTGATTTGTGGAATTTCTTTGTGTATATTATTATTGATAGTAAGATTGAGTCTTTTGAGTTTGTTCTTTATTGGGACGGTCTATTTGC